CATATAGATGCAGACAATGCTTCATGACAAAACTGAAGCTTTTTTTATGCATTGACCTTTAAGGTATGATGGGCTGCAGACAGGCAGCACAGACCACAGCAGCAGCAGCAGCTGGCTGCTTATTCATCCAGGGCAGAGAGAGAAAAGCAGTGGCTCGCTCAGGAAGCTTCTTTGTCACCTCGCTCCTCTTCTCTATCAACAATTCTCCATTTCCTCCATGAAATATCCAATAAACAGTGGCTTAATTAATGGCCTGTGCTGATTGAGTTTATTTGTGCACTGGTGTAAATGTTTTCCTGTTGCTAGGGCCTGGACTGAAAACTAATAAGCTAGAGACAGCAAAAGGAGGCCAGAGGGAGTCCAGAGCCAGGCCAAACCAGAATACTAGAGACCAGGCACAGGGGGCAACGATGTCCTCTCTGTGCTCTCAACTGGCTATGCTCACACGGATGTGGTTGCTCACATATTGATCTCCAAATAACCCATGGGAAAGTCAGAGACAGGGACAGAAAGATGACGATTGCATCATCTTAAATGTGTCAGAAGCAGTTACAGTGTAAAATGGAACAAAACAACATCCAGATGTTCTTGACTTTTTAGGAAGTAATCATGTTATTTGAGGATTTGTGAACTTTCTTGAATTGCTCAACTGATGTGGCTGGAATTACTGTTGGTTTCGCGCTCACTTTCCAGGCTTAGTAAGGGCAAAGTATGTATGGATTACAATACAGAGACACACACGCTGTCAGAATTGGCATGCACACATCAGAGACGGCGTGGTCTTAGTTTCATTTTATAGGATAACGTTTCATTTTTAAACAAGAAAGGAAATGCCAAAGACTAGCTAAACATTTCGCAATTTGACCGGATACCACTTCTTTGACAGTGTTTCCCCCATCGGTTACAACATCTGTGTGACTGGCATTAAACAAAATGATCAAACTATGAAGCTGACTTTACACTAGTGATTTTCTAAATAATACGTATATCAGGTTAATAGCTAAGAAATGTCTTGCAGTAGCTACTTTCCATGCATAATAGGCATACATGGAACGCCATAACCAAGTGGCTGGCATAGTGTATAGAAACAACTGTGCCGAGTACAGGCAAGGAAGCCCCAAAGTCAAAAGGGGATGCACCTCCTAAGGTGGTTGAGAATGACCAAGCTAAGATCCTGGGGGACTTCCAGATACATTTTTTTATATATTATATTAGCCAACTAATTTTAGGTTTGTCAGTTAGTTCATTTGCAGAAACTATGCAACAGTTAAACCTGGCAGCTACTAGGTGTAAATCTTTAGTAACAGGTAATCTCTATGTACTTGTTTGTGTGGTTTAATTAAGCTATGCATAAATCTTGACTTAGTAAACACAAGTTATTTCTTGGCTAAGTGCAACCTGCTACTGATCTATTAAAAGTTTTTGCTACAATATCAGTAGAGGCAGGAAGCAGTGGCTCCAACACATGTCAAAAGCTTTGAAAATGACTGAGAAAATAGTCCTTTTTGATGTTCTCCTTTCATGGCAAGAATCATCATTAATTGTCTTGGGTTATGACCAAGAAACAGGCCTTACACTGGCAACCATTTGTTGCCATTGAAATAATATTTGAAGTAAAATTGATTCTCAGGCCTAATGGCATTACACACACTAACAAACAATATGACAAATGTCTGTCGTGCACAGCGTGCAGTTTTAAGACAGTTGATTCATCATGCGCTGTTTACTGTTGAAATGCCAGAACAATTTCAAACACACATACATCTTTATACACTCTGCCATTGGTGTCTCGCTCCACATTACCACCCTCAAACTTGCTTGCATGCCACCCTGCCTCTTATGGTCCTCTCATCAGACCTCCAACCCTGCAGAGAAGGACACAATTCACCAGTTGTCTCCTCCAACCACTGCATGCTGTCGGGCCAAAACTGATGACATGTCAGTTTCTCCCTAAACAGGAGCATATTAATGTATCAGTCTGTGGTTAAAGAGTGGGCCAGAAACAGTATTCAGCAGGCAAGCTTTGAAATAGCATATACAACAGGCATACATATAGACATGTACATCCAACAAAAGTAAATATGTTCTGTATAAATGCATACAGTACATTTACTGCTTGTTGGACCTATAGAACCACTGACATCAACACCCACTGTTCTGCAAACTGTATGTGGACTCATGTCTAGAACCACTGGGTCAAAGAAGGCGGGATTACTATTTTATTCATGAAGGGATTTAACTTTTCATGAAGACTTCCCTCATGTTCGTCACTCGTCAAAAAGGCTTGTTCAGTTATAAATGTGTGGCAAAACAAATTATTTTCTTATTTAATATTATATCTTGATGAATCAATTACTAGTTTATCTATAAAATGAAGGAAATTTGTAAAAAAAAAAAAAATACTTGTCAATATTTTCCTAAAACCAAAAGTAACAATTTGAACTTGCCTGTCTGGTCCAACCAGCTGTCCACTATCTAAAGATAAGCAGTTTATGATCACATGAGAGAAATAAAAGCAGCATATACTCACAGCTAAGGAGATGTAGGACTTAATGGATTCATCAATATTTAAAATGGCCGCAGAATAGTTTTTTAGTAGCTTGACTAATTGATTAATCAACTAACTATTTCAGGTCTAAATCATTTAGGAGTACGTATTGATGTGACCCATTATTTTCCATCCCATGGTCCTGAAGGACTCTTCCCAGCTCTTTCCTCTTGATCCTGTTTCAGATTATAGGCTTGTCAGAGAGGACTGTTCACAGCAGTGGGCAACGACCAATTCAACATCTTGGAATATATATACGTAATTGTTTTCTTTAAGATGAGACGATCGATGTTAATCCTGTGTAAGTAAAGCTGCTATAAGTTGGTTGTTTTTTTTGTCCATTGGAGGCAGCAGAATCAAGATGTAAACACATCGACATCTGCTAAGATGATACAGTGAACACTATCACAACAGTTGCTTATGTACACATCTGTTTGTGTCTACTTGTTTTACCCTTTTTGCCATTTCAAATTAAGAGGTTGCAAACTTTTGCACCCAACTGTAATTTTCACTCTTTATTATATTTATCTTTATTATATACTCTTTATTATATTTGCTCTGCTTTACTCTTCACCAACTCCTGAGGACAAATTCTCCACTATGTTTACCAGCTAGTAAATAGTAAATAGTAAATCTGCTGACCATAAAACCAAAACCCTGAGCAAAGAACAAAGAAAAGAATAGAACAAAAGTGGGTGTTAATTTTGTGTTGGTTAAAATTACAAACAACACATGTCACATTGATCTCCTACAGTAAAATATTTACTATTGCAGATTTAAAGCT